CCAGAGCAGATTCGATGTGTTTCAAAAAAAGGGAAATAAAACAGTCCAGGAAGACCTCTCTGCTCTGGCTAGCTGGAAAGCCAAGGTGATCTGTGTCTTGTTGTCTGTCTGGGCTGTAGTCAAAACCCCGTCCTGAGATGTGGGGGGAGCAAGTACAGTCTCTGATAAAAGACTTGGTGCTTCTTTTCCACTCACTTTTACTCTTAGATGAAATTTTAAGAATACAAAACCTGTGTCTGGGCTAGGTGGACGAATGGGGATACAATTTAACATCATAATCAACCCAGGACAGTTGGTCAGGCAGGACCTGCCCCTCCTAAACCTACGCTGGCTGGGTCTGACCCCTGGGCCATCCTGGAGGTGCCATGTGATGGCACTCAACGGGATCTGTTCCAAAACCTCACCAGGCACTGAGCTCAGGCTGACAGGCCCGGAGTTCCCCAGAGCCTCCTACCAGCCCTTCTTGGGGATGGGCTCACACTGGCACCTCCAGTCCTCTTGAACCTCCTCAGTGAGCCAGGACTGATGAGGAGAAATGATGGAGAGCAGCTTGGGGAGCTCATTTACCAGCTCCCTCATCCCCCTAGCATGGATCCCATCTGATCCCACCCACCTGCGAGCATCTGAGTGGCTCAGCAGGTCTCTGACTGCTTCCTCCTGAATTACAGGGGGCTGTTCTGCTCCCTGTCCCCATCTACCAGCTCAGGAGAACACTCGTCCTGAGGAAAACCTGTCCTGATGTTGAAAATTGAGGCAAACAAGGGGTTAAGCCTTTTCCTCATCTTTGGTAACCATATCCCCCCAATAAGGAATGGAGGTTGTCCGTAGCCTTCCTTTTGCCATTAATGTATTTATAAGAACATATTTTTTATCCTTCACAGCAGGAGCCAGGTTAAGATCTAATTAAGCTTTCACCTCTCTACTTTTCATTCTGAGTAACCTAATGACATCCTTAAACACTTCCTGAGTTGCTTGCCCCTCTGTCCAAAGGTGATACACCCTCATCTTTGCCTTGAGTTCCTTCAAAAGCTCCCTGTCCAGCCAGGTCGGTCATTTTCCTTGCTAGCTCATTCTTTGTCACAGAGGGTCAGGCTTTTCCTGCTCCTTCAAGATTTTTTTATTGTACTGTGTCCATCCTTTCTGGAATCCTTTTTTTAAAAAGTCTGTTTCCCTTATAAAAAAATCAGTACCAGATTTGGTACTCCCCAAGTCTGCATCCTTAATCAGCTGAAGTCTGCTCTTCGTAAGTCCAGTGTAGAAGTTCTGTTGATGCTCTTCCTTCTTTCACAAAATTTTTAGAAACTCGATGATTTAATGATCACTGTACCCCAGGCAGCCTCTGACCACCACATTCCCCAGCAGCCCTTCTCTGTTTGTGAACAGCAGGAGACACAGCTTTCCTTGGCAGTGGCAAGAGAAGGAAACCTCCCCAAAGTGCAGCTTGGCAGGTTCAGCCTGGAGGTGAGGAGAAAGAAAAGTCCCTGCCAGGGGAGAATTTTGGTGCACAAGGTGTCCCAGCGTGAGACTGGACCATGCCATGGCTGAGTGTGCCAGGAGGCAGCAGTCAGTGGGGCCCAGGGATGCTCCAGGGGACTTGAAGTTTTGCTTCTGACTCCTTGAGCAGCTCCTTCAACCTTCTCTCAGCGCCTGAGAGTCCTGGACTCAGCCCCAAATCTACCCTGAGGTTCATTAAAATACAGAAAGCCTCGAGGGCTCTTTCTCCTCATTCCATTGTCTTCAAGTCCAAGGCTTGTGCAGCTGCTTAGAGTCAGTTTGGAGTTCTGTTAAGGAAGAAGATTTGAAAATCCACTACATTTTATTTTTTTAAATCAAGGGCACATTTTTATTTTATTATCTAGTTGAGAGAAGAGGTGACAGAAGCATTCCCCAAGTGATCTCGATGCTGAATGTCTCCTTAAGAGGTCTGGTCACGGAGAAGAATGAGCCCCTTGTGGTCTGCCACTGTTTGGAGAACCTGCTCCTCACCCCGAGCCTCACCATGTCTGACATTGCCCACCTGGGACTGACATCCCAAAACATTGAAAAAATTTACAAATTTTTATTTATAACTAAAATCTAATCAATTAATAAAAATAAAATTTTAATTTTTATAATAATATTTATCTGTATTTTTATAACCTAATTTTTATATTTATATAAAAGAATTGATACATTTTTAGGAACAAAACCCATTATTGGTCTTTGGTTCTAAGTACCATAATTCCCTTCATTAATTAACTGACCACTATTTCTCCCTCTTTATGCTTAATTATTCCTATTTTTAGTCTTTTGATCATCTTTTTTATCATTTTCTCAGACAGGGTAAAAGGGGCCACTGGGGCCCTTTTCTGGGGAACATTTGTGGCAGTTTTGGGTCTGGGAAAGGAATTTAGAGAGAACTTGGGGGGTCTGGAGGACACTTGGGGGAGCTGGGTGGGCACTTGGAGGGGCACTTAAGGATTCTGTGGGACAATTCGGGGTTTAGGTGAGCACTCGGGTGCTGTAACGGGGCTCTCTGGGGCACGAAGGATGATGGAAGTTGTAGGCACCGGTATAATGAGATTTAATGGAGCCGCGGAGCATCACGGGAGTTGTAGACACAGCTCCAATGGGTTCCGGTGAGGCGCGGGGCATGACGGGAGATGAAGTCCCGGCTGGAATAGCGCTCTATGGGTGCCGCGGAGCATGATGGGAGCTGTAGTCCCGGAAGTGGCTCGGACGGTGCGTTTCGCGGTGCGGAGAGGCACTTGGGGGAACACTTTTGCGTCCGAGCTGTGGCTGCAGGTCCTCGGGGCGAATGTATATGGCTTGGGAGTACTTGGGGGGAACCTGGGGAACTCTAACCGGGCTCTTTAGGGCGCGGGGCACAGCAGGAGGTTTGGGTGGGGAACTGTGTTCTGAGGTGCTCTGATAGCGCGAGGGATGACAGGAGATGAATTAGGGAATTCCCAGTAGTGGTTGTAAGGGGCCTCAGTGGGATCGGGAGCATTCAGGGATCCACGGACGCTTTGGGGAGTCCCGAACGGGCGTTGAGGGGGATCCTGGAGCATTTGGGGGACACTTACGGGACATATGGGGGGCGATACTGGAGTTCTGGGGAGCACAGGGCGTATTCCCAGTCCCTCCCATTTCCTTCCAGCATGATCCCATTTGCTCTCAACTGCTCCCAGTCAGCCTCAGTGTAGTTGGACGCACTGCCAGTATGATTGCAGTCACCTCCACAATGATCCCTGTTCATCCCAGGATAAGCTTAGTTGCTTCCAATCACCCCCAGCATGTAGCCAGTCACTCTCAGTTCCTGCCAGTTGCTCCTAGCATGATCCCAGTCACTCCCAGTATATCCCATTTGCCCCCAGCCTGGTCTCAATTGTCCCCCGCAGGCTTCTCCTCACTGCCAGTATGATCCCATGTCATGAGGTGGCTTTGCCTTTAAGATAGCTTTGGGAGCTAAGGAAGTTGAAACTGCTGGTGGCTGATGGGAGTCTTTCCTCCTGACCAATTATCAGTCATTTTTAAGAATTGACAGCAGTTTTGACCATTGAAAAGTGAGATCAACTTGTGAACCACACCTTAAAATGTAAAGCCAGAGCTCTCTTGTTCTCTTTGTTTTCTGGCTGTGAAAGGTAACAGAGCTCTGGCTGGCCTCTTGTTCTCTGCCCCAGCCATGCGGCCTGGGTGGGGGCTGGGCTGGGCCCAGCGGCTCCCGGCCGGGAGATGGGGCCTGCGGGGCTTGCCCCGGGCTCTGGCCGGGCCAGGCTGCTCCTTGGCTCGGCTGCAGTTTTTGCTGTGACTGAATGCACCACAGACTGCCGAGTAAAGAAAGAAAAAGCTCTTGACCTGCGGCGGGCTGAGACAGTGACCACACTCTCCAGAGCAGCCATCAAGAATCTTCCATCGCAGACAGCTCCAGCCGCTGCTCCAGCAGAGATCACAGAACCATCTACAAAAGCCTGGGCAAGATTTTAACCTTTTCATTACCCAGATGAGACTTGCAGATTAATCCTTTTATCCAGAAAGAGAAAAAGAGAGTAATCAACATGTAAAGAGACTTTATAAACTATCAGAGACAGTAAAGAAAAGAAGCTTCAGAAAAGGCAGAGAATAAGGAGATGCTTTATAAGCTGAAATATTTTTCTGTTAAAGCTATGGAGATGGACAATAAGGTCTTGAAAAAACTCCTTTAATTCATGACAGAGTATATAGGGAGGAATAGAGTGTTCAAAGTGTGGATTTTGAATAAAAAGTAGAGTAATTGTAATACAGTAGAGTGCTGGAACAGAGTGAAGCGAAGATTGGAAGCCTTGGGGGGGCAATGAGCAAACTGTTTTCCAGGAAAGCTCACAGAGACAGATGAAAAAGACTTTTGCCTTTGAATAACTCATCCTTAAAATGCCATCTCTAGACTCATGGCCCTTACACACCTCAGAGTGATGTGAAATGGGAGGAGTAAACTCTGATGACAGATTTCAGGGCAGCTGGCATCAGTAAAATAGAAAGCTATAACAAGAAATAGCTTTCTTGTAAGAAACTCCATAGATTAGCAGAAGGAGACTTCTGTTTCTCTACAAAGACTGATGAAAAGACTCTAGCAGGAATTGAGACTGTTATAAACACCAAAGTTCCAAAGTTTTTGTCTCTATGTTGTCATGTAAACAAAAGAATGGTGGGTAGTAGGGGATAAAAAGAGTTTTCTGGAAGTTTATTCTGGTGTTCTTATTCTTGTAGTTTGTTAATAAACTTTCTTTATTCCTTTGAAGTTTTAAGCCTGTTTTGCTCTTGTTCTAATCCATATCTTACAGCAAGAAATAAGTAATTTTTTTTTAGTTACTGGTTTAAAACCGCTGCATCCCAGTACAAACCAGTCCCTGCCAGTGCTTCCACTCCTGGGATCCCCCAGCCTTCTCTGCGTTCCACCCTCCCACATCTTCCCAGAGGAGCCCCAAGGGCTGGGAGTCCCCAGCCAGGGTCCTCAGCCAGCCCCAGGTTGGATCTGCAGCCCCCAATTTTTCCAGTTTCCCTCTCCTTTTCCCTGGGCTGTGTTCCCCCCTGGCCCCAGTGGGTGGGAGCAGCCGAGAGCCTCACGCTGCCCATCCTGACCTGTCCCGGCTCCATCCCTGCTCCTCCCGTGGGCTGTGAGGGATTCAGGAACGGGGCACCGAGGGTGTCGCTCCTCCTGGGGGAGGAGAAGGAGGAGGAGGGACAATCAGGGAAAGGAGAAGGAACCATGAGGTTGTGCATTCCTTCAATTCACAGCCCTCCACCCACAGGTGGGATCATCACCCCGCATCCCCACAGGTGACCAGAGAGGGGGAGCTCGGCCGAGATATCCTGGAGGGCCTCTGGGTTGAGATTTTTGGGGGATGTTTGGGGGGATGTTTGGGGAAAGAAGAACTCCAAAGCTGATCAGAAAATGCCCCTTGGAAGGACATTGAAGGGTCCCAGCATCCCTAAGTGGGGAGGTGGAAATGGGAGGAACTTTTTGGACTCCTGGCACTCCCAGCAGCCTGGGGAGGGCAGGGACCGAGTAGATGGGGGACCCTCAGTAAAAGCGTGACCCCCAGCAGCTGGGACAGTGGGGAGCCCCTGAACACCAAAGGGGAGAGACCAGAGATGGGCAACTCCTGGGAGGCATTTTCAGGGCTGAATCTTGGTGTTTGGGAGGTTTATATGGACCCCAGATGCCCGGTGATTTATAGAGATGGACTTGGGCAGATGTGCCTTCAAACTTAACATGCTCATCCCTTGTTTCCCCCACACCAGAATTTCTCATTCCCAAACCTTGTCCAGATGGAGAAGGAGACTGTGAGAAAGAGGAAAATGCCCCAGGACACCCAGGCAGGTGAGGAGGAAGTCACTGCCCCTTTCCCCCTCTCTCCTGCTCCATCTCCCAGCCCAGCATGGCCCCCGCCTGCAGGACAACCCCGCTGCCGATGCCGTCCTGCTGGGGACGCACTGGGGGGATCACCTTCCCCTTCCCTCTGGCACAGAGGCAAATCTCATCCTCTCCTTGTCCCTCTTCCCCCAGACAAGGAGCTGAGGATGGAGACCAGGGAGGACAAATCCCCACGGCAGAACCTCGTGGAAGAGGCCGTTTTGAGCAGCTCCATGGTGCAGGAATCCAATGGTGAGGAAAAGCCCCAGAGATCTCGTAGGAGGAGGGGCTTCAAACCCAGCCCAGGGTACTCTGAGGAGGAAAGATCCACCCCGTGCTGGGAAAGCTGCCGGAGATCCAGCCGGGGCTCTGAGCTGGTGGTCCATGAGCAGCTTCAGGATGGGGAGAAGCCCTACAAGTGCTTGGAGTGTGGGAAGAGCTTCAGCCGGAGCAACCGTCTGATCTGCCACCAGATGATCCACACCGGGGAATGGGCCTACGAGTGTGGGAAATGTGGGAAGGGCTTCAGCTTCAGCTCCCAACTCATCACCCACCAGCGCATCCACACTGGGGAGAGGCCCTTCGAGTGTCCCGAATGTGGGAAGAGGTTTCAGACCAGCTCCCATCTCCTCCAGCACCAGCGGATTCACACAGAGGAGAGGCCCTTCCGCTGCTCTGACTGTGGGGAGGGCTTCAAGCACAACTCCAACCTCATCACCCACCAGAAAATCCACACCAGGGAACGGCCCTACGAGTGTAGGGAATGTGGGAAGAGCTTCAGCCACAGCTCCAACCTGACCATCCACCAGATAATTCACAATGGGGAGAGGCCCTACGAGTGCCCCAAGTGTAGGAAGAGGTTTCAGACCAGCTCCAATCTCCACCAGCACCAGCGGATTCACACAGAGGAGAGGCCCTTCCGCTGCCCCGACTGTGGTAAGGGCTTCAAGCACAACTCCACCCTCGTCACCCACCGGCGCGTCCACACTGGGGAGAGGCCCTACAAGTGTCCTGAGTGTGGGAAGAGCTTCTCCAGAAGCTCTCACTTGACCCAACACCAACGGAGGCATCGGTAAGGGAAGCTGTACGAGTGCCCGAAATGCAGGAAGAGCTTCGTGCACTGCCCCAGCTCCATCCCCCATCAAAGGGCCCGTGTTCCCAGTGATCTGTGTTGGGAGGACACTGGGCTGGTGGTGCTTTTGTTTTGGCCCTAATTTTCTTTTGATTCATCTTCATCCCTTTAAAACATACAAAATTGGGGTAAAAATTAACAAATTCATCACTTTTTACTTTTTTTTTTTTTTTTTGCTTCAAGGGAATCTGGGATTCAAGGAGGTACTTGGGAGGATTTGGGGATTGTGGGGGTATTTGTTGGAGTTGTCTCCATTTCTTGGCACTCAAAGAGACGAGAGGGTTTGATCTGTCACCTCAAAACCACTCAATCCCACTGAAAACTACTCAGTTCCATCCCAAAAGCACTCAATTCCACAGCCTTTCAGGGTGTGATTCCTTAAGTTTTAGCTTTCATATTTTTCATATTCTGCACTGCCCGGGTTTGTAGTTTTGAACTTCATATGAAGTGTTAGTGAGCTCTCTTCACAGAGTAGGTAGACAAAACAATTCCTTTTCTAGCTTGATACCAAGGACAGTCATTACAAGTTTCAGGCCCAAAAGCATGAACAACAGTGGACTGAAGAGAGAAAACAGGAAGGATGGGACTTCATCATCTGAAGTTGTAATTGGACAATTAAACCTAATATGATGGACCTAAACTTCTAAAAATGTGAGACCTTGTGATCAGTTGTCCATTTTTGTGACCATTTTTGGTCCATCTTGAGTGTAGTCCTGGCCAGGCTCTTGTACTGCCCCAGGTGTATCCTTTAAGGCCTTTTAATAAACCTTATACTTAACTCTGTCCAGCCTCTGTTCTAGATCAGCCTTCTCAAGGCATCAGGTGGAATGGGGTTGGAAGGGGATTGGGTGAAGTGGGATGCAAATCAGGAGGGGTGGGATGGGCATTGGGTGGGGCAGGATGGGTGGGATGGGGATTGGGAAGTGTGAAATGGGAGAAATAGGGGTTAGGAGGGGGTCTTGATGTCCAGTAGGGGTGAGATGAGTTGACTTGGGACTGGGGAGGTGGAGTGGGGTCTGGAATGAGACAGCCAAAGTTTGAGGATGATGAGAAGAGGGGAGCTTTTTTCTGGATTAGTTTTTGGATATTCCATGTTCCTGAAGAGATTTTGGGGGTACTCACCTTTCTGAGGAGGTTTTGGGACACTCCCCAATTCTTGGGGGGTTCGTGAGAGCAGCTCCATAGAGCCCCATTTCCAGGGGTAGTTGCCATGGGCACGAGCTCAGAGCTTTAGCCAGAGTGCGTTGCCTCGGGGCTGGAGAGCAGAGAAATGATGAATGGCCCCGGACATCTCCAGTGTGTGTTTGGGGGGCAGAGCAAGTTCCGCATAGGTAGGGTGGTCACTGCCCCAGCCCAGCCAGTGCAGCCTCTGCTCCAGCCCCAAAGTGGCTGCCAAACCCCTGGCACCCCAAAAACCCCCAGCTGGGAGAGGGAGCAGAGCAGTTGAGGCTGTGACATGGGTGTGACACTGACACGTTCCACGGCCCCAGAGCTCACAGAAGCTGAGATGGTGCTGGATACAAGGCCGACTGTGGATCTCTGCCCCTCTCTCTCTTCTCCTGACTTCCACTTTTCAAAATCTGGATAACCTTGAAGTTAAGATAACACCAAGCAGATATTCTCAATGTGGACAAATGCAAAGAATATTCTTGATAGGAAGGGACACACAAGGATCATCAAGTCCAACTCTTAAGTGAATGGCCCAAACAGGGATTGAACCCACAAGCTCAGTGATGCTGGCACCGTGTTCTAACAACTGAGCTAAGAGGGCAAAATGGCATAAAATTAAACTGACAAAATACAAACAATCAAGGAGCTTTGGCAAAGGGTTTAATACAACATATAATTCAACAAAAATCTCTTATTATAGCTTCAGCTTTTCTAACTGAGCCCATTTAACCTGAAAATTTTTAACCCGTAAGATGTTGAATTACCCAAAAATGTTCCAGGTCAGTAGGATTAGAAGGAGAAGAAATAGAGAACAACAGAAAGATTTATAGAAAGACACCCATATAGGCACCAACTGCTTGGCTTTCAGCATTGCTAACAGAGGAACCCCAGGAGAAGGCAGGATCCGACCATGGGCTGACCTTGGGCTCCATCTTTTAAGCCTCTGGGTAGTTCATGGTACCTTCTCTTGGGCAGGACTTCAGGTTGCTGTCCCAATCAGAGTGAGGGTAGACACCACCTTCTAGTGTGTGATTGATTGACAGCTTAGCCAATCAGAGCTGGGGTAGCACCAATCTGTTGTGTGATTGACAGATCTGTCAGGGCTGGGGGAGGGGCTCTTTCCCACCACACACCAAGGCCTGACCTGCCCCTGACCCCACACAGGCATTCGGAGCATCCCAAAGTGTCTCAGGACATCGATCTCATCCAGCCTCTGACAGCGACCATGGTGACACTACGGAACCTCATGGAACCCTGGGTCAGTTGTGACAATGCAGGTCCAAGGACACCATGGTGACACCACAGAACCTCATGGAACCATGGGTCAGTTGTGACAATGCAGGTCCAAGGACACCATGGTGACACCACAGAACCTCATGGAACCATGGGGCCATTGTGACACTGTGGGGTCCCACAAAACCAAGGGAACATGGAACAGCTCTGGCTGGCTGGGCCTCCTGGGGACCACCTGACAGGTCCTGCTGACCTTGGCATGTCGAGGGCTACTTCTCATCTTCCCCTGAAGCACTGGGGTTCTGGGCTTTCCTTCCTAAGGGAGAGAACTGTCCTTCTCCAGGGGCCCATGGCCAGAATTGGGATTCCTCCTCCAAATTTCCTCATATGCAAAGATTGTTCCCAGATGAAATCGGCCAGGGGACACTGGTCTGGCTGCCTTGGCCACCCCGGGGCCACCTCTCATCTGCCTTTGAAACACTGAGACCATGTGCTTTTCTTTCTTCTGGGAAAAAAACCCATCCATCTCAACCAAGCACCCGTGTCCAAAACTGGGAATCTGCGTCCAGAATTCCCTGTATCCAAGGATAGCTCCCAGACAAAAGCTGTAAGGTCTGACAAGTCTGTCTGGCCTTGGTTTCCAGAGGGCTGGCACTCAAAGTGCCTTTGGAACACTGGGGCTCTGTGCTTTCCTTCTTAATAAAAAGAATTCTTCCTGTCCAGACACCCACAGCCAAAATTGTGATTCCCCCTCCAAAATGCCCTATGTCCAAGGATAGCCCCCAGACAAAAGGTGCCAGGAGAGACAGGTCTGGCTGGCTTGGCCTAATGGTGGCCAGCTCTCACCTTCTTCCAAGACACTTGGACTTTGTGCTTTTCTCGCCTATGGGAAAAAAAAACAACATCCGTCTTGAGCAGGCACCCATGGCAAAAATTCGGATTCCACCTCCAAAACTCCATACATGCAAGGATTGCTCCCAAGTGAAAGCTGCCATGACAGACAGGTCTGGCTGCCCTTGGCCTCCTGGGGGCTTCTTCTCACCTGCTGTCCAAACACTGGGGCTTGGTGCTTTCTTTCCAATGGAAAAGAACAGTCTTTGTTCTCAAAGTGTCCATGGTCAAAATTGAGATTCCTCCTCCAGAATTCCATATATCCAAGGATTTCTTCCTGACAAAAGCTGCCAGGACAAACAGGTCTGGCTGGCTTGGCTTCCCAGGACTCACCTGTCTCCTCTTCTGCCTTTGAAACACTTGGGCTCTGTTCTTTCCTTCCTATGGAAAAGAACCATCCCTCTCCTCTGGATGTCCATGTCTGAAATTGGGATTCCACCAACAAAATTCCCTATATCCAAGGTTTGCTCCCAGGTAAAATCTGCCAGTACCATCAAGTCAGGCTGGCCTTGGCCTCTGATGACTGTCCCTGCAACACTGGGGCTTGGGTCTTTCCTTCCTGTGGAGATCACTGTGACATTGTGGGGACCTCATGAAACCAAGAGGATCATGGTGGCACCACTGGAGCCCAGGAAGCCAAGGGGCCATGGTGACACAGCGGGGCTGCATGGAACCAAGAGACCATTATGACCCTGTAGGGTTTATGGAACCACAGAGACCATTAAGACCCTTCAGGACCTCATGAAACCAAGGGGATCATGGTGGCACCACTGGAGCCCATGAAACCAAGGCACCATGGTGACACAGTGGGGCTCCATGAAACCAAGAGACCATTAAGACCTCTGTGGGGTTTATGGAACCACGGAAACCATTAAGAGCCTTCAGGGCCTCGTGTAGCCAAGGGGGCACTATGACACCTTGGGGCCTCATGGGAGCAGGGGACCATTGGGACACTGTGGGGCCCCATGCAAGCGAGGGGACATGGAACAAGTCTGGCTGGTTTGGCCTCCCAGGGGCCACCTGACAGGCCTGGCTGATCTTGGAATGTCAAGGGCTCCCATCAGCTCCTGGAGCACTGGTGCTCCATGCTTTTCTTGCTATGGAAAAGAATTTTCTGTCTTTTCTGATGCCCATTGCCAAAATTAGTACTCTCCCTAGAAAAATTTCATATATGCAAGGGTATCTCCCTGAACAAAACCTGACAGCTCTGGCTGTCCTTGGCCGCTGGTGGTCACCTCACATCTCCCTGCGAAACAGTGGGGATCTCTTCCTTCCTTCCTATGGAAAAGAACCATCCTTCTCACCCAGGGACCATTTAGAATTTGGCCTCCCAAATTCCATATATCCAAGGATTGTTCCCAGACAAAAGCAGACAGGACAGAGAGGTTGGGTTGGCCCTGCCCTCTGGTGATTTTCTTAGACTATGAGCAGTCTGTTTTCATTTGAAAACACTTTGGAGAGTGCCCAGAGATCTCCCAAGGTGGGGTTTTGAGGCCTCAGGCACATGACCACTCTATAGGGACAAAGGAGCTCTGTGCTCTGTGGGGTGGAGACTGAAGACAGTGGAAGAGAGCCATGGGAGTGTATAAAGAGTGGTTTCAGAGATGATGGATCCTTTTGACATAGTGGAAAACAGCCAGAGAAAGAATGAATTGATGCCAAGTGCAGCTGGGGAGGCCTAGAGTGGACACCAGGAGAAAGGAATTTGTGTCCCAGGGCAGGGCTGTGGTGCAACACATCCCCCAGAAGAAGTCTAGAGCAGCCCAAGGCTTTGTGTGGCCAGGCAGAGGAAGGCAGGATGCAGAGCTATCAGCAAAGGAAGGGGCCAGCAAGGTGGGGCAGGCGGGGTATGATGACAGACTGCAGGGACAGAGGCGCAGGGCATGGACACCGTAGAGCAGTCTGGGCTGGAGAGGGCACAGGGATGGGCAACAGCTGAATGGCCCTGCCAGAGGCAACTTATGCGGCCCTTTGGCCATGGCTGCTGTTCCTGGGCCTGAGGCCAGCAGGGGACAAGTGACCCTGGCTGCCCTGGGGCCTCATTGCCTCCTTGTCCCTGCTCAGCAGCCTGGCAGGGGCCACCCCATGGTGCTGCCCTTGGCATTGCACATCCCCACATGCCAGTGCCCCAGGAAGAGCCCTGAGCAATGAGAGAGGGACAGCATCTGCCTTGCCAGGGGCTGGGGCTCAGCCCTTGGCCCTTGGCATTCCTGAAACACATCCAGCTTT